GCCCGTCTGCCGATCTGGCCGTGACGGGGGGCGGCCCAGCTCGGCCCGGCTCGGCCCGGCTGGGGGCAGCGCAGCGGCCTGACCCCTTGTAACGGTCTGCGCCCGGCCTGGGGTTTTTCCCTAGCGCCGTGGCCTTCTCCTTACGCAGCGGTCGCCGTGCGCCGTGGGGGTGAATGGTGCCTCGGCGCATAAGTCTCCCTCATCCCCAGTTGGGGAAGCGACCTTCTCACCTAGGGCTTGGAAAGCCTCCGCCCTGGCAGCATTGAAGTCCTTTCTCCAGGCTCTTGTTTCGCGTGCCACAGGTAAAAATCAGCAGGCTCGCTAGGGCAAACCTGTATCTTTACTCTGACTTAGCTGTAGCCCAGCCACAGGCTCCTGGCTTATAGTTTATATTTGTGTGCAGCAGTCACCCCAAGTTACATTTAGGACTGCTGGTTTAGCTTTAGTACAGCATAGCTGGTTTGATAAATGATAAAGCAGTAGCAAGGGAGCTTGATTCAAAGCACCCGAAGTGAGAATAAGATCCCAGCCGGTATGTTTTACTATTGCTCAAAAGGTAATATTGATGTTAATGTTAAATCCTTTTTTTCTGTTGTTTTAGTGGCAGCTTAACACGTCCACTGTTTTGATGTGTTTTCAAGAGAAAAACAAACTACAGTTCTATCTTACTTTTTTCTTTCCAAGTAGTTATGCCTAGTCATCTTTTACTCTCATCTTTTGTTCTGTGCAAAAGGTTACTTCAGCTCTCCTGGGCCTTCTTTTTGGTGTTTTGGTCTGCTTCCCATGGTGTATAGGGCTTTTCTGTTCTCGAGCATTTTCAGCAAAACTCCTTGTCTGATGCTTGGTCATTTTTTTGACTGACAAAAAGATGATTCCAAAGCAGTGAGACAAGCCTTGCCTGAGGCGTGTGAGCATGAGATAGTAAGGCCTTTTCCTGGAGAGAAGCAATGCACAGCAAAGAATGAGCACTGTTAGTACTCTTAAGTGAGGTTTGCATGCAGAAAAACTGAGAAGCTTTTAGTTTTTTTCAACTGAAAGTCCTCAGGGCATAAAAGTTTTTTCTGCTCTAGGAAAGATGACCTATTAACCCAGCAATGATTTTTTTTCCTCATTTTACGGCCAATTCTTTTCACTATTTTAATGCTGACCTTTAGCTTTGAGTGATTTGCAAATTTGGGGAGAAAACGTTATTTATTTATTTACAGATCTTATTGCAATTTCCGTATGTTGATTATTTATATTTTTTCATTTACTTTACCAAATGCATAACTGAAACTTTTGTTTCATCAAGATAAAAACGTCTGTCAAAAAAAGAGAAGAAATTAGTTTGATATAGTTTACTTATGTTAAATTCACTTCAGGTTTTATCATACTCGGTATTTCCCTCAACGCTTGATTATTTCCTCTTTTAAGCTTTTTTTGGTCTCATATTACCAAGTTATTTATTAATATAGTACTTGAAACACAACCCGTGTTCAGCTAAGTAATGGTGCTTAATCTTAAAAACTTCTAGTCTAACTGGTCAGATAATGCAGTAGAAATACTGATTTTTCTCGATTTTATAAAGACTACTTTCTGTGTGGCATGAAAAAAAAATCAGTAAAAATAGTCATGCCTTTTTGTGTTAAATAATAATTCTATAGTTGATTTGAAATTTCTTGACTTTAATCTGATTTTTGGTTCATTAGAGTGACTGACTTTCAAAATCTAGTGCGCTTTAAGATCACCCTATTTAGTGCTTTTTAAGAATAGATATACAGATATAAAGTTGAATGAAAGATTGCTAACCACATGCTGTTACTGTCAAGGTGAAAACTTTTTTTGCAGTGCAGTCGTTTTCTACATGAACTAAGACAACTGAACAAAAATAAAGATGAGATTAAGAGTAGATGATTTACAGAAAGGATACTAAGCAGGTAATGTAGTCAAAGAGATAAATGGGTTAACATTTTAAGATATTTTAAGACATTTAAATGTAACATGAACTGACAGGCTGAAAGACTAAGTACAGCTGACTATACTTGTTTTGTGTTTTCTATTAGTGCTCAAGTAAGAATGCCTTAAGCAGATAACTATGGATAAATATATTAAAGTGCGGAAGATTGGAGAAGGATCCTTTGGGAAAGCAATTCTGGTCAAAGCAAAAGAAAATGGCCAGCAGTATGTTATTAAAGAAATAAACATCTCTAAGGTGAGTGATTACTATCATTAAGTACTGGTCCTTTGGTTTGTTTGTTATTTGTTTGTATTTCTATTCTCAAAAAACACTGTTTTCCTTCTGAAGATGTCAAATAAGGAGAGAGAAGAATCAAGGCGAGAAGTTGCTGTATTGGCTAACATGAAACATCCAAATATAGTCCTGTATAGGGAGTCATTTGAAGGTAAGGTAATTAATACCATAGAACGTGAAATAATAGTAATAAAGGACTATCTCTGTTTTACTAATTACTAAAGTAACTTATTTTTAAAATTTAAAATTAATTCAAATAATTCGTTTTAGATGATTATTTTTTTCTTTAATGATTTTCCCCTCCTTTTATTACTGTCCTCATTTCTTCCTGATTGTTTTTATTAGAAACATTCTTGTCTCTTCCTTGCATAATTTAATTTTGGTTGATGTCAAAGTGAAAGGGTTATCTTTCCTGTTTCTACACAGTATATGCCCCTTAAATTCTTTCATCTGTCCTAATCACTTGAATGGTCATGTATCTTAAATATGAACATGATCTAAGTTCAGATGCTTATAAACAGCAACTGCAATCTCGTCTCAGAAGTTTGCCTTCTTGGATGTGGTCTTTAGTAATTAAAGAAATGACATAATTGTAAAAAGTAGAAGAATGGATTGCTGAAAGTGTCCTTTACAAAGTTATGAAAGGAGGAGCCATTTAATTCAAAACTGAAAGAGTTACTTAGAAAAAGATGTTTCGCTGGCATCTGTAGAAAGGAGCTGCTTAACCAGTGGTCCAGAGTTCTCTCCTGGTTATCATTTCTTTCAATGATAGTATGAAAGATGTGACAAGTAAAGAGTTTAGGAGAAAGATTTCACATCATTTTTTTTACAGTGAATATTGTGGGAAATAATCAGAAGAGATAAAAGCTCTGTTGTGTAAGATTAAAGACAGTATTTAAAAGCTTAAATATTATTTGGAATTCATGAAGGAACTTTTTCTTTTTTCTTCTTTCTGCTGACTTTTCATGCCTTTTGATTTTGGGTTTTTATTTTCTGCCCATTAAGTTAGAAGTATATGCTGTAAATCGGAAGACTGGTTATTGCTTTTTATAAATCCACATGATCCACAAACCACTTTTCTTTAATTGAGGCCTGTTCTTTAAAACTGCTATACTTCATGAAGTAGATTATGTAATTCCTAGTTCATGAGACTTCATGCTGCATCTTGTTGAAGCACATTGACTTTGAACATACTATTCTATTTCAAAGGTAGGTCTGCAAGAAATTCAAAGTTCTAGGATCACATTTCAAAATAATTCCAATTGTAAAGCGTAAGCAATGTACAAAGCACTCTAACCTCAAATGGAAAGTTATATTCTTGATGTTTTAGAAGGCAAATATCAGAAACATTTTGTGGAAATGACATTTAAGTGACTTAAAGGCTTTAATTATTTTTCACTCTTATTTTTGCTGTTATTACTAACCTTTCAGTTGTAGGGGGTGTTTGGGGGCTGTTCCTTTTGAGTGGCATTTGATTGTGTGTACTTATTTACCTCTTTTCAAAATGACACCTAGTCTGTGAATACTGCAGTTCTTCTATTTTACTAGCCTGTTTGAGTTACTATTCATAAAATATTAGAATTTTCATCAATATGCTTTTAATTTGCCATTCTCTTTTGCCTCATCTCTTTTCTCAACAGTATTTGAAAAGATTCTATTGGGGAGCAAAACGGTAACTTGGTATAAATGTGTTATGTGTGCTTATACTGGTTTTGGAGGTCTCTCCCCATTTCCTTCAAAATGAGAAAATTCTGAGTTCCATATGTTGTCACCTGCTGGAAGCTCTGTTGTTGTTCCTCAGTGTCTGGAATGAACTCTGGTGTGACAACCAATATTTGCCACGTTCTTGCACTATGTATGTGTATATTGTCCCAGTAAAACTGCAAGAATTAATTGGACAGGTGGATGCAATTACATAATTTAGAACTTTGTTATCTATTTTTAGGGTTAGGTGATCTATGTGTGTATATAATAGCAAGTAGGGTGGAGAATGGATTTTACACTGCATTCATAAAAGTGACATCTTTAATTTCAGCGTGGTCTTGCACCTAATTCTGGGGCAATGGTTGAGTAGATGGCCCATGTTGAGGCAAACATTTTTAAGATACTCATAAAGATATTGTAGAGAAGTTTTTTTTATTATTTATTGGATTGTTTTTTGGCTTTGCTTTACAGAAAATGGCTGTCTCTACATAGTGATGGATTACTGTGAAGGAGGAGACCTGTTTAAAAAAATAAATGCTCAGAAAGGAATCTTATTTTCTGAGGATCAGGTAATAGCAAACTTCTGCCATAGTGTTTTGCAGCACATACTTTAAAGAATTTCTTGTTCGATTTGGCAAGTACGGTTGCTTAAGATGTATAGAATGTTTCTAAATTGTGATTCTTGTTGCTACTGGTAATGACTGGTATTAATTTAGTCATCACTGCAATAATAGCTAGAAACAGCCTGAAATTTAGGGTATTTTAATTGGGATTTTGTCTGTCCTTGGAGACTTCTTGCAAAGCAAGCCAAATTTGATCAATGAAGAGTACTAATGGGAAGGACTGGCTATATGATGTTATGGAGGAGTTTTGTTTTGTAATACTGCTTTTTAAAACCCTTGTTTCATTAGCTAGTTGATTATAAGAAGACTTTGCATGGCTTACAGCAAAAGTACAATCTTAAGGATACAAGTTCCAAGTCTTAAATATTTTAGCCAATAAGACTGATATTTCATACCTTTGTTGTCTTTATAGTGTGTGATTGAACCTAGTAATATCAGGTATTAAATAATACCTGAATAAGTTAATGTATATCTTCTGTTGATACTTATTGATTCTCTCAAAGGAGAATTTTGTGTTACAGTGATAGTAGTGCTACATTCTTAATGTTTCTAGGATATATGTGAATGTAAGTTTGTGGGAAGAGGATAATAATTTGAAGTAAAATTGTAAGACTTATTTGATAAAATCCTGAGGAAAAATAACTGGAGAAGCTTTCAGATAAATTTATATATTGATGTTACCTAATCCCTTTTGTATTTAGATTCTGGATTGGTTTGTACAAATCTGTTTGGCATTAAAGCATATACATGATAGAAAAATATTGCATCGGGACATAAAGTCACAGGTATGCTGGTGTGTGCATGTTTTTTTGGGTTTTTTTTGTTTGTTTGTTTGTTTGTTTTTTTTTCTTCCTTAATTTACTTCTGGGGTATTATGTCTTATCTTGATAGTGTCACCTCAGAAATTATGAAAAATATTTGGAGTATTTTTTTTGTATATGTATATATAAGCTCTTGTAATTTTGCTAACACTTTTTTGTTTGTAGTTTTTCAGACCTCGTTTATTTGATATTTGTAACAGACACATGAGGCAAAGAAGCTGTTTTAATATTATTCATATGGCCTTTTTCCCACACCTACATAAGTATTTTAGAATTTATAGTGGTTTTTTTGTTTGTTTTTGTTTTTCCTTTTCATGGTTTTGATAAAGTGGGATGAGATTAGGCCTATTATTTCCCAGTAGTCATTGCATAAGTTAATGGTAGAGACTTCAGAGTGACGAATGGTAGAAAGTTTTATTCCTTCCAAAACATATTGAGGGCAAAAAACTTGAAACTGTATGAATGTTTTAAATAACAGACTTTTTAAAATTTCTGCACCAAGAACATATTTTTGACCAAAGACGGGACAGTACAGCTGGGAGACTTTGGAATCGCCAGAGTTCTTAACAGGTAACTCATTCTGCTTCTAGTTTCTCAGCATTAATCTACACAGCTTTGCTCTAAGGAAACCTAATGCGTGCCCACTATGTGGCTTAACTAGTTAACCTTCCTCTTTTTTCATAGTACTGTAGAACTGGCTCGCACTTGCATTGGAACACCATACTACTTGTCACCTGAAATATGTCAGAATAAGCCTTACAACAATAAAAGGTACTGATAAGGATTTTATTAAGTATTTTAGGGAAGAAGGAGGGAGCGTGTGTTTTAAAAATCTGAAGCTCTTCTACTTGTATGATAGTAAATGGCCTGTAGCTCACATTTTATTCCTTGATAAGGATTGTTTTGCTGTACAGGTGGTATCTCAGCGTGTTGATGTAGTGCAGAGCAATGTGTTCAGGAGATTTTTTTGCTTAGTGCTTTGAGTTCTAGATCTAGCCATATTCTTGTTGTGGCTCTACTTTAGTTTTTCTCCACACTACTTGTGCTGCCTTAATTTATGCAGTATGAATATGAATGCATGTTAAGGATGAAAAAATCAGGAATATGCTAATTGGATTCTCTAAGCATATGTAGAAATATGTGTAGATTCATACACTGAAGAACAGCCTTCAAATACTTTGGTTATGTTTACTGCCTCTCTAAGTTGGCTGTATCTGGTAACAGTTTCCCAAATGTAACTAAAATGCTTGTTATCAAGTCATTTTTTTATGTTGCACTAGCATACTGAAGAATAGTCCTCATTGAAGGTGCGTTATATTTCCTTGAACCCCTTAAAAGTTAAAAATGATTACTCTTCCCTGCCCCTTAATCATCTCTCCTGCATGAGGTTTTTCATTCAATGGTATTCCAGCCAAATCTTGCCGTTCTGGAATGAGTAAGGGTAGGGTAAGGCCTTATTAAACAGGATAAATCTAAATGTTAGGATTTTAGGGAGAAAGGAGTAAATTGGAGGAAGTTTGTACATATTCAAAATGCAACTTCTTTTCCTTTTCAGTGCTACAATACTTGATTATTAAGTTATTTGGCAGTGTCATGCCCAGAGTTAATTCTTAGTCCTTTTTCTTTGATTTAGTGATATCTGGGCCCTTGGTTGTGTTCTGTATGAGATGTGCACACTCAAGCATGCGGTGAGTAGAAACCTAGTGTTTCTTTAAAAGAATAATATCAAACAGTACTAGTAGTAGTTTTTTTTATTGTCAAAGGAACTGGAATAGCTCTCTGCTTCCTGACCTGATGCTGAAACATATGCATTCCTTTGGATTTGGCATAGAATGAATATGAATCTTTACAGCCTTTCACTAAAAATCATGTGACAGTTGAGTGTTTTAGGAAAGGGGAGAGAGCAATCTAGTACATATAATACCATACTTTATAATAATTTTTCCTTAATTGTATGTAACAACATATGACTGTCAGGCTAGATTTGAAAGGGGATAATTATTAGCAAAGATAGCATATTGTTTTCAGAATTTAAACTTTAGATCTCAGTAAGTAGTGTGATGCTATCAATAGGTAGCGTATTGTTTTAAAATGATGGTCTCAAATTTGATGTTTAGAAGCAAAGGAAATTTGGGGGGCTTTCTTGTTTGTTTGTTTTCCCTCTCCTCTACATGCAACCTTCTTTGTGGGCATTTAGTCATATGTCACAATTGTAAGTTTTTTGTTTTTATTTTTATTTTCTTATGATACAGTTTGAAGCTGGTAACATGAAAAACTTGGTACTGAAGATCATCTCTGGAACTTTTCCTCCTGTTTCTGCGCATTATTCCTACGACCTACGTAATCTGTTGTCGCAGTTGTTTAAAATGAATCCTAAGGATAGACCGTCAGTCAACTCCATATTGGAGAAAAACTTCATAGCCAAACGCATTGAAAAATTTCTTACACCACAGGTATGGAGATGCTTTTCATTTTAATTTTGCCTGAAAACAGCACAGAACTTGACTTATTTTTATTTTAATGTCAATATGCAACATAAAATTGCAGCTATAGTATTTACTAAAGCCTTATCCAGACATTATCAATTGTGAGGGACAAAAAAAGGCTCTTTGGATCTTGATAAGTTTACAATACTGATAAATGAAATACAAAAGAAAAAATTCACATTGTTTAAGTAACTATTGGTAGTTTCATGAATCTAAATTGTCATATGCATTTTCGCGCAGGAGCACTGTTTTATTTCTTTCTATCTAGTGAGTCGAGTCCTGATTGGTTTAGATATGCATTGTTGCATACAATGGAACTGGTGACTTCAGCCTCATTCTTTGATGCTATTTCTTCCATCTGTAGTTTTATTCTTAATTTGGAATAATTTGCGAGTTTGTTCTGTAAAATATTGCTAAGTAAAGTAGTAGTTAAATTTCTTGAGGATTAAATACACCTCTGCATGCAAGCTAAAAGAAGCTGCTTGGTAGTCCGTGTTGGATCCGTTGGTGTCTACTGATGTCATTTTAATATAAATTTAGTTGAAAAGAGGGCAAGAATAACAAGTGGGCAATAGTACTGATGTTATGAGGGAAGTATGATGTTATGAGGGAATAGATAAAGGATATGGAAAATGGATGCAAAAGGAGAACTTGGGTATAAAGAATGCTAATGGAATATAGTTTATTATTAATTGAAAATCTTGCATATGCAGTTGAAATTCTGATTATATGCAGGCCCTTCTCTCCTAAATTTCTTTATCAGTGACTTAAAAGTTTATTTGAAAGGTAAGATTAAGAAATCCTTACAACTAAACTCATTGTCCTAACCTTTGCAACAGTAATTCCTTGATCTGATTTTTATTTCCGGCAGCTCAAATAGATATGATATTTTTGAGGTTATTCAGCATTTACTAATATTAATAATTATGATAAACTAATAATTCATAACAAGCTACCGCCAGATATTATTTTCTCCTTAATTGGATACAAATACTTAAACATAGTTTGTTCTTCTGGTTCACTGATACATGGCATCGCTTCAAACTGAATTTAAAGGGGAAAAAAAAAGTAGAAAACACCTATTACAAATTATATTGATCACAGGTACAAACATATTTAGGTGAAAGTGATCTTTTTATGACATAATTGTAATGCTCTTTGCTTATTTTCTTTCACCCATGACTAATGTTCTTAGCTGGCTTTAGTCTGAGCTTCAGAGAGCTTCCCCAGAGATGTGTCATCATCAGCATGGCTTAACTACTGCAGAGATCCTGTCCTTAACTGACAGGAGATCAGTCCACCAGGATTATACGAATTCTTAATTTTTGTAGTTAATACGTCATGGTAAAGAGTATCTATAAATTGCAGAGCATCCTTGGAGGGGGAGGGGAAGAGCCTTGGAATGTGCTCAAGAGCTCTCCTATGAGCTGCTCTTATTATCAAAACGCTGCATTTCGGTTGTTCCAGTCACAGCTCACCGACCAAGTAAACGCTTGAAGGCCATTGGAATATCAGTAGTAGAACACTGTTCTCATCTTTTTGCTTTTGATAAAATACTATACAGAATAAAAAGTTTGTCTCTGCCATTGTGTGCAGTCTTAGAGACTGTCTGCTTTTGTTCTTTTAGGATTTTTTTTTGGTATGGACTTCTTATTTATTGGCTTTTGGTTGTTTGGGGAGGGCTGCAGGGGGAGCAGCAGGGGATTTGGGGAGGGTGAGATTTTGTGGGGTTTCAGAGTTTTTGGGTGTGTTTAGGAGCTCTCTTGGATTTTTATTTTTATTTATTTTTTTTTAGGGGAAGTGGTTCTTAATTTTTTTTTTAACTCCCCCAACATCTATTGTAGTTGGATGGTAATCTCTAAGCAAAGCAAAATCAATATTTCAAGATTCATATAAAAATATCCCTTTAAACGTTTGAGGCTTTGTGACTGAGCAAGCTGGCTTTGCTAGCAGTCACTGTCAGAACACTAACTGCCTTCCTGGCATGCTTGAGGACTTGAAAGATGGTTTGTAGTACAACCTTTAGCTTTTTGCATGTAGCCGTGCCACCTTAAAAATTCTTGTGCTGTTGAATTCCTTTGAATATTCTTTGAATGATTGGTAGAGTCAGTTGGTATGGTTGGATTTGCTAAGGAGTCTGAAAGCAAGAATTAAAACATGAGAACGCTGTGACAGGTCAGCTAAAATGCACTCCAGCTCCTTATCCTGAGAGTCCTGAACAAATGCCTAGTGGAGAATATGAGAACCTGGCAAGCCTTCTTCTGTTGCAGCTGGCTTGAAAAAGGACATTTTTAAATTTTATTGTACTCAGTGTGTCTAACAGAACTCTGTGTATGTTGCTTATAGAAGTGAGCACGTAGACTCATCTTCCCATTTTGCAAAGAATAGAGAAATGAAAATTCCAGCATTTCTGAAGGGCTTTTTTGAAACAAGCCTGTCTGAGAAATTAGAATAAAAAATGAAAGCTAACAGAAATCCAAAATAAACTGCACACAAAACCATGTTGATGTTTACATTAATTTCCTTGCACCTGTGATTAACTACTTTCATAAATGGGGTAGTAGGTGCCAGACTGCCCAGAAGTTAGACTAAAGGGTTTTTTTAAAGTAATGTGAATAGTTGTGCCAGAAATGTTAAAAAAAAAAATGAGTACAACTTCATATTAATTTTAATAATAATGAATTCTCAACTGTATGCATTCAGTTTATTTATACTTAGGTTATGGTAAATGCCATTAGTAAGAAGCCTACCGAAAAAGGTGTGTTTATATGTATTTCTGAAAGGGAGTTCTCCTTTTTAACTTCAGATAAAAGTAAATATTGTTTGCTAATAATTCAACTTTTTGTTTAGCTTATGGCAGAAGAATTCAGTCGCAAAATGTTCCAAAAGTTGGGACTACATGCTGCACCAGGTAATTGTGTAAAAATACATTATCTTATCAGAGCCCAAAATAAAAGTTATGTATAAAGTTAGTACTGTTCTTAGGTTGTGTTGGGAGGAGTGGGGGAGGTTGGGGATTCAGAATACTAGAAACGTTTATACATTGCTATTGAGGAGAGTTGCTACTTTCCCCCTCACCTAAAAATTCTTCCCCTTATACAATTTTAATTTCTTGTGATCATTTGAAGCTGTGGTAGGTGCTTTGTGTGATGGGTTTTTTGTTTGTTTTACTGTTTCGTGCAAGTATTTCACAGCTATTCTGTAGTGAAAGAACCCTGCTAGCACAGAGGCAAATTTACAAGTAGATACTGGCATGTTTTCAAGAACTTTACAGGGGAACCATATCCCCAAAGGCTATCGAAACAATAACTCTGTTAGAGTTCTTGTTCTTGCTGCCCTGTGTTTTGCAGGTTGCAGGCCTGTGTCTTTAGTGGAAGTCTGCCTCTGAATTCCATTTGGAAAGCTTTTCCCTGTGTCTGTAAGGAAGGCATGGTAAAGAATGGCAAAAAGTATGAGAAGTTCCAGTCCTTCAGAACTAAGTGATCAAACTGAGAAGCTTAGGGATTGTGTTCTTTTGTTTCTTATAAAATGTGAGGTTTAGGAAGGACCTTTTGGACATTTTGCACCAGCTGCTCACAGTAAATAAAGGGTTAGCAGTTCACTTGTTCTCCTGCAGCCCTGTTTTCCCAAAAGCTGGGAAAGGGGAGATGTGGTATGTTTGCATGCCTGGATATCTTTGTAAAGGTGACTTCTCTTGTCTAGCAAAAAGGCCCCCTCATGGACAAAATCTGGCTTCAGTTGTACCATCTCAGAAAATTACCAAACCTGCTGCAAAATATAGAGTGCCTTTAATGAGCAAGAAGGCTGGTGATGTACCTAAAAAGATTCATGAGAAGAAGCCGTTGATCAAATGTGGGCAGGTAAAAACCTAAGTAATTTGTTTTGTTTGTACCTATTAAAATACTATGCATTCCTTTTCAAAATATCTTTTATATGGGCGCATGCAAAAATAGTTTAAATGTTTGGCTTAACATATGCTCTCAGTTTCTTTGTTGGTGTTGATTGCTCTTAGAAAAATTGGAAGTCTGTCAGTTATAAACATTATTTTAATATATTGTATGCTTATTGTTTTTGTATCTTTAGGTCTTTCTTATTTGTTCAAGTATGTATATACATACATAACAATATATGTATTGTATACGTATTGTTTTTGGATCTTTAGGTCTTTCTTATTTGTTCAAGAAGAACCTCCAGATTTCAAAGCTTAAAAAAGCTTTTTTGTCTTATTTTCTAAAATCTCTAATCGGATTAGGTGTTTTGCAGACTTCATTCCATGAGTTAATAACAAAATGATGAAAACAGTGTACTTTTAATCTTTCCTGTGGTCTCCTTTCCTTATAAACACTATTTCATTAAAAAAACCTATTTCTCCTGGTTGATTCATTTAATTACTTCATAGCCAAGATACGTTACATGATATAGCTAGGTCTGAAATATGTGCACATGCTACAGGCATGCAATAATTACAGGCATGCAACTTCAACCTTTTTCCACTCTCAGCAGGAGAAGTAATTCAGATTTTCTTCTGAATTAGTGATTTTTTTTCCTTCTTGCCATGACACTTCTGCAAATGCAGTATTGATATCTCAAATTTTTGATAGAAATTATCTTAAGTCTAAAATTATTCTAAAATGTTTGAAGAATTAGGGAAATTAGGGTTCTAAAATTATTGAAGAATTAGGGGAAAAATGTCAATGATAACCCAAATCTTGTTTCGCTAATATACGCAACTTTAAGAAGAGAACAAGGCAGAGGGAACACACAAACTGCACTGTGTCCTGATGAGACTGTGAGGCTTTTTTTTTTTTTTTCTTTCCCCTTCTATTTTAAGACTTGGATATCTGCTAGTTTGCCCCTGCTTATAATCAGTTTCCCTAGCCAGCCCCAAACCAACCCATCACTGTGACAGGGTGGAGCCAGGGAGAATTCCTCATGCTGGAAGAAGTCAAGATATTTTCTTTATTCAAGTATGTTTTTGTGTGTTGTACCTAGTGACAAGATGTAGCATAGAAAAAAGTGGCTGCAGTGTAATATAAATAATTTTCTCTTTGCAGCCGCTTCAGGGTAGTTTGATCTTGCAGCCATAAACTGTTTTTTCAAGGGAGCATGTAACAATCTCCTTTGTTTTACTGATGTTAATTCACTGCAATTGAAATACACTGGCTTAAGTTTCTAAAGGCTTCTGCTTCCTGAAATATTTGATTTGAAGTACTAACCTCATTGGGTTTTTTTGTCATAAAAAATTATGAAGCTCTAAGTATCTGTATTCTGCAGTCTAGCATGCTTTACTAGCAACCCATCATTTATGTGAGAGAAGATTAGAATAAATGCATAGCTTCATATTGCTACTTTTTTACTAGGTGTTCGATGGTGGTTTCTAGTAAATCTGTTTTCTAAATAAAAGTTTACCTTAATATCTAGGTATCCTAGAAAAAATAGGAACAGATTGTCATATGAAATTGTCAGAGAAAAGAATTAAAAACTGACTTAAAAATTTTTACTCAGCTTTCAAGAGAGAGATCTTAATAAAGAGATGATGAACAAGTACAGTAGCATTTACCCTAGAGTTTAGCAGTATTTTTAATTTAAAAGCTCCCGAATAATGTTCTCAACCCTGTTTACCCATGCCATGTTATGGGTTTAAGAATCTCTCTGCCAAGGTTCTTCCTGGTGTCAAGCTATCTCACTTGAAGTTTCGGCCTTTGTCTAGAGCTTTCGAACTCCAATGAAGAAAATTAATCCAGGAAAAAGGAGGAAAATGTTTGAGGTATAATGAAATCACCTGTAAATTTTCAAATTATACAAAAGCGAGGTCCAGGACAAGGATGACAAAATCTTCAAACCTTTATTTCTTATTTCTTTTTTCCACTATTTAACATTATTTATTTGTCTTAATGGGCATACCTCAGTCATTGGAGCACTAATCAATTTTGGCAGACTTAAAAGAATGACTCAGTAACAAATACCAAATTGTATGCTTATTTTTCAGGAAGGTGCAAAAAAGAAAAGATTAGAATTGCCTGAAAAACGCCAGCGAGATCAGGTAGACAAGGCACTCCAGCCTTTTTTTTTTTTTTTTTTGAACCCACAGTAACTTCAGTAACTTTAATGAAATAATTTTCGTGTGTGTTGTGTTGTATGTTGCCTAGGAATACAGAATAGTTCAATTTGCCAGCTACTAAAAATGTTTCGTTTTTGTTTTAATAAATAAATTGTATACCAGTTTGCTGAAGGCAGAGAAAATGAGAAGACTAGAAAAAGAAGGCGTAAAATATGTTTAAAATGTGTTTTATTTAAAGTGTTTCCTTGAATTGTATTTTCCTTTATTGTTTTCTCCTTCAGATGGAGCAAGTAAACAGAGCCAGGGAACAAGGATGGAGGAATGTGCATGGTTCTGGTGGAAGTGGTGATGTTAAGGTTGGCAGCAGATGCAGAAATGTGCTATAGCCTGTTTCCCTTCCTCATGCTTCCCCCACTATTGGTTGTCTGGCCTGGTCTTCTTTCAGAAGATCAACTCTTGGAGCTGTCCATGTTTAAACTATAGATAATTTAAGAGACATTGTATGGCAGACTTTCTTCCTTGGCTTTGTGGAGATCGCATGCAATTTTTTTCTTAAAACTACTTATATTTCAGAATCTCCTGTCTTTTGCCAGGTCTTCATACTCCCCTTCGTTTTTTTTCCACTCCTGCTTTTGCTACTTTTCCTGTGCCGAATCTATGCATGAACAGTTTTCTTTCATGTTCAAGCTTCTTAAAATTTTTGTTGCCAGGTTCTCACATTATGATAATAGACTATTTGCCCAGTATTTAAAATGTGCTTCTAAGCATTCTTTAGTTTTTTTTTTTGTTTGTTTGTATGTTTTTTGTTTTTGTTTACCTACATAAATGGCAAATTCAGTGTAAATTGAGTGGGCTGTGAGGGGGAAAAAATTCCACATAATATTTTAAGTAGTAAACTTCTTGGCCATTAACTTCTTGCAGGATTGTATCGAACAATTCAGTCTAATTCCAATGACAGTTTCATTTTGGCTCTTTCTGTGTATCACAGTATCATGGAAACATAACTGTTCTGGGAACTAGTCAGTCACATGAAGGTACTTGAATTTTAACATTCTCTACTTCCATCAGAGAGAGCCAGTGCAGAATTAAGTATCATCATGGTGCAAATCTATCTGACAGAATAAACTGGATTGCTACCACAAATTGCTGTATTTTAGTGAGTCTTAGGAATATTTTGCTTTTGTTTAGCAGAGTTTTTGTGAACAAGCTCTAAATGAAGGGCAGAGTCCAGATAAGTAGAGGGTTTATTTTCTGTTCCATGTACAACAAGAATATGAAGATTGCAGTAGTTTGCTGTTTATGTGCTTTCAAAATAGAAATCATGTTTGTTTGTGTGACATATGTAGATAAAGTTTAAATATAAAAACAATCTTAAAGATGCCAGAACTAGGCACTTTCAGAACTAGAAGGTGGTGGTTGAATGGGGAATCAGAAGAAGCCTTTTCCTTTTTATATGTCCCTTCTTTCAAGTTAATGCCACCACCCGCAACACAAGCTTCTGTATAAGATGCCATAGCAGCACCACCACATTGTAATGAAAGCCAAGTATGTGTCCCTAAAGCAATTATGCCTCTAATATTGAGATTATCCTTACGAAACACTGAACTTTAAAAACCCGTGCAGATTTCTGTTGGAGCTAAATGCGCATTATCTTTCAGTACTCAGTCACCATGGGATATTTAGATTCAGTGGTTGTGTGTATTTTCACAAAGTGTCAATTATGTAAAATGTCATGGTAAAATTATGCTTTAAAGACATGTTAGATTTCTTCCCAAAGTATATTGGGTAGTTTTGTGTAAATCTTGTTGCAGTCTAGTAGGTTATCATCAGTGTAGGTTTCCATTTATTATCATGGTATCCTTGATTTATTTTTCGTTTTTCTCCTGCCTGAAAACAGTGCATTCAGTGACTTGATGATGCTGTTAGCTTAAAATAGTAGCAGTGTTCAACTTTCCATTAATGTAGGCTTCATAGCTTCATGTGAAGGCACAGAAGGGTAACATACAGCATCATTTTCTTCTCCTGTCTTCTTTTTGGGAGACTGGATACTGGCACCTGTCTCTGAAAGGAAATAGGGAAGAAGATGGCAAGGAGCTGACTTTGGGGTTCTAGCAGGGCTGTAACTGGTCCGGCGGCACTTGACTAGCATTCACTCCAGAACGTTTGCCTAGTGATTGACCATACTACCTCATTAGGTAAACCTTTGGAAAACTGAGCTCAAACAACTGTAGAGGTAACCTTGAATAGTGTTGAGAGCCGTGCTTTGTGTTTATTTTGTAGAGCAGGGAGGCCATAGGTCCCATAGATTCACTATCATGGGCTGTTTGATCACTCCCACAGGTATAAAGTGGACATTTTTATGCATGTGCTGACAACCTTAACTTTATTTTGCCAATTTCACTTTTTCTGCATCCATCCTTGGCTACTACTATTTGTTATTGCCTGCAACATTTTTGTTGTTGTTGTTTTCATGGGGAAATTCTTTAGGGATTTTAATTCTGTGGGAAGGGGAAATGTATTCTGTAATGGAGTAACTTGTGCTAGAGGTTCCCCTGATCTGAACATCAGATAGGAAGCTTCTCAATTTCGGATATTCAACCAAATTATAGGTTGGTAAAAATGATATTTTAAAATTAATCTGCATTTGGAATAACAACTTAATGCCATTCAGCAATCTTCAAAGCATGCTTAAGTGTTTCCAGCTTTGTTTTAAAAATGTCTCTTTGGACACCAGTTAGTCATTGGTACTTTGGTTAGCACTGCATTACTTTTAGCTTTTATGATAAAATGTGATTTATGCAGTGCAGAACATGAGCCATCTCTGGTTGTGCTTCATAGGTATCTTTACCAATAATTTCCAAAACATGTGACGTATCTCACTGTTATGAGAGAGAGATAAATACTGTTTTGTTTTGATGTGCTAACTGAAAGGTACATTTAGCACATTTCAGTCTCGTTTTTGGTGTATTGAAGTAGGAAAATTCTATCAATAAAAACACTAGTGCCAAATCAGAATTGTTGCAGAACACAGTTCTGCATCTTCCATCTCCATCTGCTGGGGAGATGGAAATTGGAAGGGCTTGTTAAGACCGATATTTAAGATTCCTATTCTGATCCTTCTGATTTCCAGGCACCATACTATGTTGGCGGAGGTGGTGTTGGTCCTTTCCCTGTGTCTTCCAGAAGACAATATGAACACTATCATGCCATTTTCGATCAGATGCAGTTGCAAAAGGAAAACTTTAAAGTAGCTGAAGAGAAGGAAGCCAGATGGAGGACAAATGTACAGGGCCGTGAAGCTATTGGAAGGTATGGCTAGCTTCCATTGGGAGGTTGCACATAGTCTGATTTAGATGAAAATAATAAAAGTTACTGTACATATTTATCTACAGAGGAATTTCACCTGGAATACGTCCAGGAGTTCCTAAGGGGCCTGCAGGTCATCACCATTTACCTGATGCTGATGCAATTAGGAAAAAAATGAAAAGATTGAAGGAGGTGTCTAAACAAGCCAATGCAAACAGGTTGGACAATAACTCGTAAATTTGTCCCTACATGTTAGACTCTGTTCTGTGTCTTGTTTCATTTAGTAGTTTGAGATGTCTCAAAACCACTTTTATCCATTGGTACCGTGTTGTCTGTTTGTGTGTTGGTCCCTCACAGACCACAGTTTTTAGAACCAATG